CTGAAGCAGAGGCTTGCATGGATTATAAGGGTTAAACTTCCTTCACCCCCCTAGAGGTGAGGAAGTCATGTGGCAATGGAGGGCTGGTTGGAGGCAGTATGAAAGACTTGGGAGAAAAAAAGAGTATAAATTTTATCTCTGAATGATTTCTTGCACAGTTTTTTCTACACCAGACATTGGGATGTGAGCTACAGACAGAATCTCACCGCTTACAGGGCAGAAATGTGACTGTAAAGTGATTCTATGAGTGTGGAACGAAACACACTTGATTGTTGGATTCCTGAAGAATACATTTCTCTTATGAGAGCGCTGAGGCCCTGACACAATGTGTCCAGAGGAGCTGTGTTTGCCCCATCCCTGGCAGCGTTCAAGGCCAGGTTGGACAGGGCTTGGAGCAACCTGCTCTAGTGGAAGGTGTCCCTGCCCATAGCAGGGGGTTGGAGCTGGATGAGCTTTAAGGTTCCTTCCAACCCACACCATTCTAGGTTCATAAGTGTGATCCTTTAACAGAAGATTATCCCTATTCATAGCTTCCTCTTGTTCTTTTCCTGACCTTCTTGAATTAGAAGCAAGTCATGGGCTTTCCCGCTGAAACAGTGGGAAAACAGTGTCAGGACCACAGCAAAGGAGAATATTCTGAGCTGATTTGGCTGTGTCATCATACGAGGCTTCCTGCTGCAAAAAAAGAGGCATTTCCACTAGTGTCAAACACTGAACAAAATCAGAAGTATGCCAGGGCTTGGTTTGGTAGCAGAGGTTGGGAAAGGGATGGTTCACTACAGCCTGCAGCAGTGTTTTGGGGGTTGGTTTGTTTATTGCTATTTAATAATAATAATAATAAAAATAATAATAATGAGTATCTGTAGGAATGCTTTGGAGCCAGGTCGTCACTGCCAGTTCATTTTCATGGATAAATGAAAGAGAAGTGATCTGAAGAAAGTCTCCAGAGGGATAGTGATTTACATCCCTGAGTAGATGGCCTTCTGGTGGGGACGTTATGATGGTGTCTTTGGTTGTACTTCCTCTTATTCCCAGACAGAAAAAACAATCAGAAGAGAGGTAACAGTAGGTGCCTCTATAAGATCCTCCCATAGGGGAAAAAAAGGAAGCTCAGTACCTCTAAAATGGTTGTACAGTTGGTCCAAAAGCTGTTGGATGTTGCTGTTACAGCAGCATCTATAGGAATAGAAATAGCAAGAGAAGAAATAGGAATTTTGGCATTCCCCTGGTCTCTTTCCAACATGTGAAAATCGTGGGATGAAAGGAAATGCCATCTTTGGATGTACTTTGTTTTCTGCAGTGCCTTCGTAGAGTCATAGAATGGTTTGTGCTGGAAGGGACTCATCCAGTTCCAACCCCCTGCCAGAGGCAGGGACACCTTCCACTAGAGCAGGCTGCTCCAAGCCCCTGTGTCCAGCCTGGCCTTGAACACTGCCAGGGATGGGGCAACCCCACTTCTCTCAGACTGTAATCAAAGCAGGATAGTTAATGAGTAGGATAAAACTCTCATTTGTACTTGTTTCAGAGTAGCAGTGGTAATTTCTGTCTCAAGTCTTTCTGTGGAAAGATAGTCCAAATGGTTGCTGCTGTTACTGTGTTCAGGGAGGTGACACCTTGGTTTAAATTACTAAGGCAAATTGAGTTTTTCTCTCCCACCTCAAGCATAAAGCAGCATTGAGTTAGAGAATCCAGTCATCAGCTATTTGAGCAAGTCAGTATTCTACTACCATAAGTTCCCCATCTTAATACTGTCCTGTAATGCTTCGTTTTGTATTACCATCCAGAACATCTTGAGGCCCTCTTGGTATCAAAAGATAAAGCTTAGACCCCCCAAGCCACCTGCTCAGGTTCCATCTGACTGTGAGAGGACCTCAGTTCCTGCCCTTGGATTTCTTTGCCTGCCAAGGTCCCATTGACCAGTGGTGAGACACAGTCCTATGTGAGACATGGGAACTTGAAGCTCTAATCTCATGCCTGCCTCAGCAATTACATCTCCTAAGAGCTCCCTCTCATTGCCCTGAGGTATTTAGGGATGAGTGTGCATGTTGGAAGAACTCCTACCCTTTGGGCAGGGGAAAATGCAGTGCCACATCGCTGAAGCTGATGGTCAGGGCAGCCATCTGCAATGACGGGTTAATTGGGATCCAAATCCCTGTTGTGATGGGGAGCAACATACAGTCCTGAGTATGACTGAATCTCCCAGGGTGTTTTTAAAGTGCCAGCTTGGATGGATAGAACTTGAATGGCAGAATGGAGGAATTACAGAGAATTTGAAGGGAAAAAAAGAAATACAGGAGCATAATTGGCTGTTACAGATAGGATGCAGACTTTTTTTTGCTCTCAACTTCTGCCCCTGGTAGGGTTCTAGTTGAACCCTCTGCTCTCACATTTCCACGTGGGCAAACAACATTGTACTTAATGGGCACTCTTCAAAGCATAGTTCATGTTTGTGAAGTACTGGAAGTGGCCAAGGCAAAGTCTTCTAGAAGTACCAGGTAATGGCAGGGACACCAGGGCTGTTTGGCAGAGAGATCCTTCAGAAGACACTTGAGGAAGACAGATTTGATATGATGGAAAGCTGGTCCACTGAGATATGGAGAAGGTGAAGTAGTTATGTGGAAGATAGAAAGCATTACATGATTCCTATCCCATGGCTGCTATGAACTGGCTTGTGCTAGGCAGAGTCTCTTGGGGACAATGGATGCATTGGAGGGGGGTGGAGGGTGGGCTGTAGGCATAATCTCACATTCAGTATACTCCACAAAAGGATGCAGGGAAAGAGGGTTGAGTGTATATAATGTAGTGCAGTGGGTGAACAATAGGTTATAGATGAGGAGACAAAGGTTTATTATCAAATGCAGTCCATCATCTGTGTCTGGAAGTGAATGCATCGTGTAAAGTGACACTGAGTGTTGGCACTGATGGGAGGGACAGTCATTCCTGAACTTTGTTCATTTTATGTGGACAAGCCTCTGGATCACTTATCTACAGTTACGAAACCAGGTAGCAGAGACATCCAGGATTAAACAGTGAGAACACAGTATTTTGTTTCTACAGGTGATATTTTCAGCTCAAAATCAATATATTGCAGTGGGCTGTAGGACTGAAGAAGGTTAATCTTCTGTTGCCATGGCCCATATTACGTCTCTTCACTAAACACATGCTGCACTTGGACCTGTATGCACAGTATGCACAACTATTAGGATTGTTTTGGAGAAGTACTTGTTTGCCACTGTTGCTGGTGATGGAAAAAAGCCCCAGTTTTATATGGATGAGAGGATCTGGAGCTCCCCATTGAAACCACTTCTGAAAACTCTTAGTGGGGAATGGCAACAGAAAGGGGAACTTGGAGATTTTACAAGAGACTCCTCTGTTATTCCATAGCAGGTAAAAGTGAGAAATCCCTATATAAAGTTCTAGAAGTTTGTAGTGTGTTGTTCTTAAGGGGAATCGTAGAATGATTTGAGTTGGAAAGGACCTTAAAATCAACCAGTTCCAACCCCCTGCCATGAGCAGGGATGCCTCACACTAGACCATGTCACCCAAGGCTCTGTCCAACCTGGCCTTGAACACCACCAGGGATGGAGCATTCACAACCTCCTTGGGCAACCCATTCCAGTGCCTCACCACCCCCACAGTAAAGAACTTCTTCCTTATATCTAACCTGAACTTCCCCTGTTTGAGTTTAAACCCATTCCCCCGTGTCTTATCACTGCAATCCCTGATGAAGAGTCCCTCTCCATCCTTGTAGCCCCCCTTTGAATGGACCTTCTCATAAAGAGCAGTGTGCATCTGCACAACATGTTAAATTCACAATCTGTAAACTCACCTACTTAATAGGCCAACTGCCGTCTTGCTTTAGGTTCTGTTTAGCTTCCATTGCCACACTTGCCTGGAGTGACTTGTTGAGAAATTTGGGACTTTAATCCCTAAAGCAGAAGGACATGTTGCTGACACCCGAAGTTTATTTAGGAAGCAAGGAGTGTGTAGTGTTACACAGTGTGGTAACCTAAAATGCTTGCATGACTCAGTTTTAAAGCTAAGACTTGTTGCCAACCACACTTGAGTTTGCAGGTTCTTGCTCTTCCCACAGAAACTATAGACAAGAGTGTGCAATTGCAGGATGAGAGCCATGCAGATGCTTATCTTGCTACTGGTACCAGTTCCATCCCTTTCAGCCTGCTGTTGCCTGGCTCATTTGTACCTGTAAGCTCTGCAGACCTGTGATGATGAGCTCTCTGTGGTTGTTCAGTGCCTGGGAGAGCCGAGTGCTGAGGCACCTTGTGCTAAGCCCACAGGAGCAATGTAGGGGCTGAGAGTGAGAGCCAGCACACTGCTGCTGTCAAGGCCTGAGTCTAAAACATAATCCCCAAGCCCCTGCTTGCTGGGGAGCATGCCAGGAGTGAGGAGGGCTACAGAAATGAAGGTGAATGTGACCTGGCACTGTGTGCTCATAGCCCAGAAACCAACCGTGTGCTGGGCTGCATCAAAAGGACACGAGCAGAAGGTCAGGGAGGGGATTCTCCCCCTCTTCTCCTTCGCTCTGGGGAGAACCCCCCCTGCAGTCCTGATCCTGCCCTGGGGCAACAGCAAAAGAGGGACCTGGAGCTGTTGAAGCGAGTCCAGAGGAGGCCATGGAGATGCTGCGAGGGCTGGAGCAGCTCTGCTCTGGAGCCAGGCTGAGGGAGCTGGGCTGGGTCAGCCTGGAGAAGAGAAGGCTCCTGAAGGGGAGACCTTAGAGCAGCTCCAGTGCCCAAAGGGGCTGCAGGAAACCTGGAGAGGGGCTTTGGACAAGGGCCTGTAGGGACAGGCCAAGGGGAATGGCTTTAACCTGCCCGAGGGGAGACTGAGATGAGCTCTTAGGCAGAAGCTCTTCCCTGTGAGGGTGCTGAGGCGCTGGCACAGGGTGCCCAGAGAAGCTGTGGCTGCCCCATCCCTGGCAGTGTTCAAGGCCAGGTTGGACACAGGGGCTTGGAGCAAGCTGCTCTGGTGGAAGGTGTTGGGGTTGGAGCTGGATGAGCTTTAAGGTCCTTTTCAGCCCAAACCAGTCTGGGATTGTCTGATTCATTGGCATGTCCAGCTGGTTCCTGTGGAGTTCTTCACCTGGCAGGATGGACAGTGAAGGACCCATTCTGAGGTATTTTCAGTGTGCACTGAGGCAGGGTGTTTGGGACTATGGATTTAGGCAAAGACGCAGTGCAGTGCTCAGCACCGCAACAGCCAGGCCCGTTACTGAATCTGGCCTTCCTGCAATAAGTGTGAGTAATGGGAAGAGAGGCATGAGAGCAGAATGACTGTACAGGAGCTGCACTTGTCTTGCTAGAATGGAAAACATCTTTGTAAAGGGGTAAAATTAGCGCTGGGTACAAGAATGCCATTTCATGAAACAAATGACTACACCTCTTCCCAGTGGCAGGAGCAAAGTGACACATCCCTGTCCCGCTCCCAGGGCTGCTGCACAGTAGCCAGGCTGGGATGAGGAGTGGATCCCAGTGCTGAGGGACCCTGGCCATCCACCTCAGTATGGTTTGTGATGAGAGATGTCTTCCTCGGGTATGGGGAGAGCAGGGCAGGAGGATGTATGTTTGAGACATGGGATGTGGTCTATTTGAGATGTGCAGTTGCTTCTGAGGTGTTCGTGGTAGCAAAGTCACAGAAAAAACTGAATAAAATCGGGTATCTCCTTACTAGAGGCTCTTTTATCTCCTATTTGTTGTATTTTACTTCTCTCTGCTGTATTTTTCCTTTCTTTTTGTCTCTTAATGCCTTCCACTCTATAGTTCTACATCCTTATTTATTATCCACGTTTGTTTACTGCTGCTTTTTTCCTCATGCATGTCTTTACTGCTTTAGCTTTCCTGTATCACAGAGTCATAATGGTTAGGGTTGGAAAGGACCTTAAACCCCTTTCTCTTTTGTCTCTCTTGTGATCTGCCATCCAGTTTGGCCACCTCCGTGCGATGGAGCAATGTACCTGGTGGGCTGAGTGAGGCTTGCATCACCTCCCTGAACCAGATTGCATCTGCGGTCAGCTGGAAGTGACTACATGCCTGAACTGACAAAAGATGCTGTGGAAACACAGATCTCTGGGGCAAGGTATCCTTGTTTACATGTGTGTGCTTGTTGCTGCTTGAGTACCTTCACAATGCCTGTCTGCTCCTTTGGGCTTTGCAGCAGGAAATGGGAACAGAGATGCAAAGCTCTTGGGAAAACCAGGATTCACCTTGAAAAGGGGGATATGCTGTTGCCCAGGAATGTGTGGTGACTGTAAGCAGGAGATGCAAAACCCCTCGCTTGACCTTTGGATAATTCTTTCCTTTCCAGTGAGTCCCTTTCCCTGCCTGTGACTCATCTTCTAAATGTAGACGAAGCCTCTCAGAGGACTGCCTTTCCCTCTGAACAGAGCAGCATAAAAAATAGCAATGCTGGTGAATAACCAGCGTTATTTTTTAACACAAAAAACCCCTTGAGGGCTGCCTTGCTGCTCCTGTGCTGCTCTGTCAAGGGATTTATTGGTTCCCCGAGAGAACAGCAGAGCAGGTTGTGTCCTGACTGCAATGAGAAGGTTGCTCAGGCACCAGGTCTTGGGAGCAACACAACTGCAGGAGGGTGGGCAGTAGATGTTGTAATAGGAGATAGGAGGGCTCTGACAAAGGCCAGTGAATCTTTCATAGCCCTTACATACCTCCTTCCCTGGTGCTGACCATCAAAATCATGTATAATATCTATATAATAGGCAGCATTCCTGTGGGAGCTGCAGTGTGGCTTGCGTAGACATCCAGTAGGAAGCTGCCTGCTCCCTTCAGCACGTTGCCAACACCCATCTCCTTTCCTCCAGCCCCTGTGTACAGTCCAGCTGCCCAGTCCACTTCTGTTCTTGACACTGGTGACCTGGTGATCATAGAATCCCAGACTGGTTTGTGTTGGAAGGGATCTTAAAGCTCATCCAGTTCCAACCCCTGCCATGGGCAGGGACCCCTTCCACTAGAGCAGCTTGCTCCAAGCCCCTGTGTCCAACCTGGCCTTGAACACTGCCAGGGATGGGGCAGCCACAGCTTCTCTGGGCACCCTGTGCCAGCGCCTCACCATCCTACTGTTACCTCCCCCTGTCACATCAGCTCTTGTTTTGTCTCTGACAGTAGCAGATCTCTTACTGAAGCCAAAGTGGTTCCTTTTCTCTTTTCAGATGCTTTTGCTGTATCCTGTCTCTTTATTGCCTGATCCCCTGGAAGACACAAGAGTGAGAATCAGTGGTGTGTCCTTACCCTGCAAACACTCTGAGAACTGCTTTGACAGCTAACAGAACCAAATAGTGGATGTAGCCACAGCAAGCTCCTGCTCTTTCTACCAAGTTACAACTGCTCTGCGATCCAAAGGAGTGATGCTTGAACCTCCCTCTGATCCACTGTGTTCTTTTCTCTGACTGTAGCAGCACTGTTTCTTTCCAACACACAATGTTCATGCAAAAATGCAGATTGAAGCAGGTTTCCTACTTTAATCTTAAGGAATTAAGGAAAATTAAGAAGAGGTGAGCTAGATCACTGTGAGGATAGATGCCTCCTGTTGTGGAATAGAACGAAATCCAGTGCCATGCTCCCTACCATTAGACCTGATACAACTGCTGTTATGACCAAGAGTCATACAGCAAGAGTCTCAAAATCAACCATAAACCTATGGGTCAGGCAATAAGTGACTTGACATTTCTCATTGCAGAGTGATAGTTTCATGCCTTTAATCTGCATCACTGCAGGCAGTGTATTATTGAATCCAGTGAGGTTTGAATCCCACTATGAATTTCATTGTTTTCCACAAGTGGATTATGAAGAGAAACCTTTGATATCTATTAATTGTGTGTCTCTGAGTGAAAGGCTATTGTATGTATATATGTATTTCGTAACAGGAAATGTAACAAACATCTATTTTTATTACATTAATAAACCAGATAAACCTATCCAAGCATGTTTTCATTGAATTTCTTTGGTGTTGTTCCCCTTTGCACTTAATCCTCCTTCATTTATACTCTCAGGACACACAGCTCCTTGTATCAGGTGGTTGATGTCATACAAGTGCCTAGGTTCTAAATAAGAGCTTAGAGTTTGCACCAGCCAGTGTAAGCGCATCCACATGGCACCATAGTCTGATTGGGACCTCGGGGTACTCAGGGTGCTACTTACCTGTTGCATTTGCAGTAGGGTGTAAAACAGGCTCTTCCCAAAGAAAAAAGTAATCCCTTTGAGGGATTTAATCTGCTTTTGAGGAGCTCATGGCCTGTGGCCTGGGAAGCAGGTGAAAGGGACATGGACAAGGAGAGGTAAATTGTAGATAGCTGTAAATCCATTCCGTTTACAGCATTCTGAAGGGGTGGGATCAGCTCCACTCTTCTGAGAACCCCCCCCTGCAGTCCTGATCCTGCCCTGGGGCAACAGCACAAGAGGGATGTGGAGCTGCTGGAGCAAGTCCAGAGGAGGCCACGGAGATGCTGCTAGGGCAGGAGCAGCTCTGCTCTGGAGCCAGGCTGAGAAAGCTGGGTTGGGTCAGCCTGGAGAAGAGAAGGCTCCTGAAGGGGAGACCTTAGAGCAGCTCCAGTGCCTAAAGGGGCTGCAGGAAAGCTGGAGAGGGGCTTGGGACAAGGGCCTGTAGGGACAGGCCAAGGGGAATGGCTTGAACCTGCCAGAGGGGAGACTGAGATGAGCTCTTAGGCAGAAGCTCTCCCCTGTGAGGGTGCTGAGGCGCTGGCACAGGGTGCCCAGAGAAGCTGTGGCTGCCCCATCCCTGGCAGTGTTCAAGGCCAGGTTGGACACAGGGGCTTGGAGCAAGCTGCTCTGGTGGAAGGTGTCCCTGCCTGTGGCAGGGGTTGGAAGTGGGTGAGCTTTGAGGTCCCTTCCAACCCAAACCAGGCTGGCATTTCCCAGGCAGAGAAAGGCAAGGCAGCGCATGGAACCCCTCTCCATGCCGCCTGTCACTGACCCCTCACAAAACCCCATCCAGAGGAGGTTCCCCGCTGCTTTGTAACCAGATCCTTGTCAAACCAACCCTATAAAAGGCTGGCTCTGGACAAAGACGTCGACACTGGTTGCAAAAGTCCCCTTTTAAAGCCACCCGTCCCCTCCAGCCCCGCAGCTGCCGGGCTTTGATTGACGCACTCCTTGCTCCAGGCTGCCCTTAACCTCCCATGTTCCTGAGGCATTCCCGTCCCTCCAGCCTCCATTGGGAGCTGTGTCCGTGCCTCAGCCCTGTTCCCGTCCCTGTTCCCGTCCCTGTTCCCGTCCCTGTTCCCAGTCCCACCCCTCCTCCAGCCACCGCT